AAAGAATGACAGTGGTTATATTTCAAATGCTGTGTATAAGTTGATCTCTGAAGGAGAGATCAAAAGAGGGATTAAAGCAAACGGATATTGTTCTATACTGTATTAAAGTAAACAGGTATTATCTTGAACTGTATTGAAGTGAATATGTATTATTTGGGACTGTTTTAAAGTAATCCTATATATATATAAACCTTCTTACTTACACTCCATGACCCAGAGACCCTGACACACACACATACACTTCCTCCCATCAGCAAACACACACACATACACTTCCTGACCCAGATATCAGCAACACACACACATACACCTCCGCTTATCAGCACACACACATACACTTCCCCTCACTAAACACACACACATGTTCTTTTTCAAGGTTCTTTCTGGGGCCAATATAATCCCAAGCACCAATATATCTGTGTACAATGTTTGATACCAATATATCTGTGTACAATGTTTGATTGTTTGGGAAAGAATAGTTTGTGTGAAACCTTCCCTGGGAAATTAAAGGAGTTGAGTCCGGTGGAAGATAAGAAGTGACTCTCCACCCCAAAAATGTCCATATATACTGTTGTTTCTTCATGCAAAATGCTTCCTGTTTCTGACTGGCTGGTCCCGATATCTGCATCGCACGGCAGTAAAGCGGGGAGCCCGGAGTGCTCTGTTACAGGGCACTCTGTATTGTGTTTTTTACTGTATTAAAATCAGAATATTGTTATAACTTTTATGCCGGTGTTTTGAACTCCTTCTTTTATTAAATCTGACCAGGCTCATCTAAAGGACGGCGCGGAGCAGAGGTGGGCTTTAAGCCACCACTATTGTGTTTGCTCCTACAGCATCCACAACTTTTGTTAATGAATAACGTCATATTACATTAAATGTCTGCCAATAAACATCCCTTTCTTCCTCACATAGGTCCTTTGAGTAAAGGATCTTTTTGACTTATAGAACACACTTGGTTCTGGTTTTAGCAATTGAAAGAACTATATACAGGAAAATATTCATGTTAGATCAGTAATGTAGTATGTAGTATAGTGTGGTACACTAATGTAGTGTAGTGCATATCAGTCCATGTACAAATAAAAATAATCTCCTTTCTCTCTAATGGTTTTAGCCACCTCGTAGTCTCTGCAGATACGCTGTATAAGGATATCCTCCTCCGCAAAAACGACGAAATTGCACCACTCCATCCCTGTGAGTAGGAGCTGGCCTTGCACCTGCCAATAATAGCTATAAGACTGCTTCACTTTTAATGTGCCACTCTGCATTTTTAAGTAGCTACAGTCCACATAACTTTTCACATTTGGGCATTTTATTTCTACAAGTCCAAAAGGTGGGCTCTCAGTTGGGTCAAACACCAGACCGTCAGGAGATTACCCTAACCAGGGGGCATCTGGGTGAATGACAAACCCACACGGCCAGTAATTGGTGTTTTTAATCCGGCAGTATTCCTGGATGGCAACCGGTTCCAGTGCCAGTCCCCTCTTCATTGACGCTGTTTGCGCCACTCCCTTCCGAATCCGTTGTGCCAATTTGTAGCCGAACTCTGACCTCGAACATGGCATACTTCCCTGAAACGGGAAGAAGTTATTCTTGGCCTCCTAACACGGTGCCATTCCACACTGCTCCCTTGTGGCCACCTCGATTTTCCTTGCCATGAGCAATGTTGTCGCAAGTGACAGTAGATGGAGGTGCTGTTGGTGACTGCACACAATCTCACAGGTGGTAGGCTCCAGCCTATAGCCATCCACAGGTAGAGGTGGTGGCGGAGGGGCATCTGGGTGACGCACAGTAACCCGGCTAAGAGGTAGTGGATGCTGGTATGAGATGGGGCTACCTTCCTGAACTTTTCCAAAGGTGGAGTTAACCAGTGGCACGTCCACACTTATAGCCATGGTGGTGATCAGTGGTGCGATGTCTGCTTAGAAGTCCTTGTATGCCTCGCAGACTTTGAGGACATCTGGGTCTGGCAGCTCCCCCCGTACGGCCTTGTAACGTGTACTCCTTTGAACATGTTTATATGATAATTAGGACTTTAAGAACAATTATACACTCAAACAACAATCACAAAGTTGTAGCAGGCTACATACAATTACTTAGGACAATAGATATTACCTTACACCATCAGCAACTGTAAACTGCTTTGGCTTAGTGGAAATGAACTCACTCTGCCTGGTTTCACACCCTATTAATTACAAAAAAGAATTGTCAAATTATTGAAATGGTCATTGAAGCAACATACTAAATCAGCTCTTGGCACAAAGGAAATACTCATTACACCGTGGATTGGTTGTGAACACATACTGTACTTACCATGGTTCTTGGCTTGTGCCATCGCTGCTCTGTTTCAGTGCAGCTGAGGACAGGGGGTACAGCAGCCAGGTTGGGTGTGGAGTAGTGTGCGGTCTGGAACAGCAGTGCAACATTGTGGTTGCAGAGTGCTGTTCCAGCTACACAGGAACACTTTGCCACTGCAATCTCCACAGGTGAGCAGTTCTCAAAGACAATCTACACAGTAAAACAAAATGTCAGTCATTTTACATTTAGGACACTGCTTCAATACAACACAGAAAAATGAGAAAGCTGAGAGCAGGCTGATCAGGCAAGTAGTAGGTGTGGGAAAAGGCTAAACCATGTCAGGTTATCAGTCACATCACATACACAGAAGTTCTGCTGTTTGGAATACTGTAATTTAAGGACATTCAAACAGATAAGCTCTCTTAGCTGTCTCAATTTATTATCTTATTATATTATAACTACATAAAATAGTGTTAGTAGAACGTTGAACAGCTTAACATAGATGTAGGGTACAAAACCAGCACTTACCTAACACTGGCCAACACAAATAATTGGACCCTACATGGATTATATTAACCATATAGTAAAGAACAGCAGCCGTCACAACCAGTTTCTGGGGTTTCCATGAAAGCAGAGACGGTTTTCAACCTCTCATTAAGAATCTTTGATGAAAGCTAAGTTTGGGTTTAGCTAATGTATTTATCATTTTACACGAGAAGGTTACAAAACGAAAATAAATCTGTAGCCCCTTCATGCTACACACACATAGCTAGCTACCAGTTGATGTGAGCTAATTTATTGTCACTATTATCACGAATCTTTTGCAAAACGTCAGCTAATCCTAAATCACAGGTTACCTACTACATCAAAACCCCAGAACATGAACCTGATTGAGGCTTTGAACCGATGAACACTTTTTATTTTTCTCCCTACTCTGAGATCGTGAGGCTTTTCATGCTTTCTCATGGACCTGTAACAGCTAGCCCTGACGCTCACTCTCCCTGAAGGTAGATCTTTGTTTGAAACTGGGGAATTGGACATCATTCATGTTATCCAAAACACGTAATAGTACATCATTAAAATGCTTTACACTGTATCAAGACTGTCAAGTTGTCAAAGTTAGCCAGTAACTACAGCTTTGTTTGTCACTTACCTTCATAATTGTCGATGTAACTGGATATGTACATCTTGAACTCCTTTTCTCTTTTGCTCCTTGGGGCTGAGCTTGCCGCTGGTACCAGCCGATGTACATCACTGATGTTAACCTTCGGTAGGTCTTGGAGACATCGAGTGTAAAATAGTGCCATCACGTTAACGTTAGCGTTCTGTAGTGGACATTTTTATTATATCCTTATATGCTTAAACCAAATGCTTCTCAAATCATTGTAAAACACCTATATCATTTCCTGAGATGTGTTGTTTTCTTCTCATACTCTAATGTGGGTTTTTATTCCCAAGCGCTTCAAGGCCACAGAGCTGATTTGGCAGACTAGGTTGAGACTCACACAAAATCACACAAGAACTTTCCTATTCTGAGAACCGTTATACTATCTACAGCTCAAGGACAGGTGTCTAATACCGTGTGAAGACAGATTTCTGAGCTTCCCGCAGCTTCCTGTATATAAGCTTGGCTATTTTATTGTACTGCGCACATTCCTGCAGACTATCCTATACTCTGTGAGACCTGTGACTTTGTATTGCGTTTTTGTATTTGAAGCTTCAAATAAATAACCAGAAAGACAACTCTGTCTGTTTCAACATTTATTTGTTTGATCACTCTGACTTGTACTCTCCACAGTATTGGGTCTCAGATTTCCATAACAATTGGCGTTGTCGGCAGGATGTCCAGAGAGATACCAGAGAAGGGAAGGAGTGTGGTGATTTCCACCAGACTTGTCCTCACTGCCAGGGGCGGAATTTGGAGACTATTTTGGTAATGAAAGTGGCGATGGTGTCCCCATAGTCTGGTTTATGGAACTCTGCTTCATTAAGACTGTCGACCAATATAATGTAGTCTTCTTCAGGCAGCCTGCGCTCCTTGCGCAGGCTGGCTATGGGTTCCAGGATTCCCTTTCTGAAGGCACCGATGGGGTCCTGAACGCAGGATCTCAGACTACATTATATTGGTCTAGTCCTAACACAACTATCATGGCAAGTATGCAGAGGAACCATTCTATGATTGTCCAGGCTCTCCAGTAGTATCCACATTGCTCACGGTTGCGTTGTCGTCTTTCCAGACGAGCCCTCATCACGAGGCGGGAATGCTCCATGGGGTGTGTGTGTGTATTCCCTCGGTCGATTTTGTGACACGGACAGTCAGACTCCGCACACCGATAACACAAACGAGGAACCAGAGGCATATGGAACCGCTCAGCTGGCACTCGCTCGTGACACCTTGTGTGTAGTGTGTTTTGGTGTATGTAGTGCAAGTGTGGTGCTGGTGGTGACTTGGACACGTCACTTGTTGTCGTCTACTTCTTCCGTTGGTGACTAGGACACGTCACTTGTTGTCGTCTTCCGTTGGTGACTAGGACACGTCACATGTTGTCGTCTTCCGTTGGTGACTAGGACACGTCACTTGTTGTCGTCTGCTTCTACCGTTTCTCCTTTCCTGTGACTACGACCTTGCAGTGGCTGGCGTGGACCCACGTAGCTCTCTCGGAGACCTTGACCGCTGTCTGGGTGACGAGAAGCACCTGGTAGGGACCTTGCCAACGATTGGATTTCCAGCTCTTTCTCCGGAAATCCTTGACCAGCACGAAGTCGCCGGGTTGGAGATGGTGAAGTGGACCAGTGGCAGGGGTAGGCAAGGCTGCGGCTACCTGACGTCGGATGTCTGCTAAAGTGGATGACAGGTTAACACAATATGACAACATTGCATCCTCACACAAAGTTGTGGAGGGAAGAGGACATCCTGGAGCCTTGAGTCCAATCTGTGGAGGAGCCCCAAAAAGGATTTCAAATGGGCTGAGTTGACTCCGTGTTCTTTTCCACATCCGCATGTACATCAGAACAATGGGCAGAGCTTGTGTCCATGACAGACCTGTGTCTGCACAGCATTTTGCTAGTTTGTTTTTTATTGTGCCGTTCTCTCTTTCCACCCCACCCCCACTCTGTGGATGATAAGCACAATGCTTTCTGATGTCCATGCCCATGTATTCTCCTATCTGCGTAATGGCCTCATTAGCAAAATGTGAACCGTTGTCGCTAGAAATGTTGTCTGGTAGTCCCCATCTAGGAATGATTTCCCTCAGTAGTGCCTTTGCCACAGCATTTGCTGTCTGTGCTTTTACTGGGAAAGCTTCAACCCATTTGGACCACATGTGAACCACCACCAGACAGTGCTTCTTACCCTCTGATGGGCTAAGCTCAATGAAATCCAGCATTAGGTGCTCAAATGGCCTGGTGGGAGGTGGATGTGCTCCGGGTCCTGTAACCTTTACTGGTCTACCAGAATTTTGCATAATGCAAATTAGGCATGCTTCACAGTGCTTTTGAGCTGTTACTGTGAACCCCCTTGTGAACCACTCCTGATTTATAGCCTCTAACATCCCTCCTTTTGACACATGATCTAACCCATGTGTCAACTTAGCGAAATGAGGGAAGAAATGTCTTGGGAGACATGGATTGGAATTTGGACCAACCCAGATGCTGGAGGTTGGGTCAAAAACAGCCCCAGCAGCCTGAGCCTTCTCTACTGGTGTAGCTAGTTGCTGCATGGAAGTCAGTGATGACTTTTTGTCAGTGAAGGAGGAGACAGGGATGTTAACAAATGAGTGTGCGTGGGGTGCGAGAGGAGTCAGAGCAGCTGCCTTTGCGGCTGAGTCAGCAGACGCATTTCCTAGGGAAACTGGGTCTGTACTGCTTGCGTGTGCGGCACATTTACAGACTGCAACTTCAGATGGGAGCAGAATGGCGTCTAGTAAGCCTGCAACCAGTACATGGTTAAGTACTGGTTTGCCATCAGATTTCAGAAATTGTCTACACTTCCAAATAGCCCCAAAATCGTGTACTACCCCAAAAGCAAAGCGTGAGTCAGTGTAAATAGTCACGGTTTTGCCTTCTGCAAACGTGCAGGCTTCAGTTAGTGCGATGAGCTCTGCTGCTTGTGCTGAGAGGTGACATGGAAGTGGTCCAGAACGGAGTACAGCAGAATCTGAAACAACAGAAAAACCCACCCGATTAGTGCCCCCTTGGTCACGAGAGGCAGACCCATCAACATACAAAATGAGGTCCGCGTTGGTCAGAGGAACGTCTTTTAAGTCCGGTCTAGGTGTGCACACAATGGAAAGTTCGGCAACACAGTCGTGTTCGTCACCGTCTTCAGGCAAAGGCATAAGAGATGCTGGATTCAGAGTGTTACATCGCTTGACATAAACATTAGGCATGTCTAACAGGCATGTGTGATACCTAAGGTAACGTGCAGCAGAGAGGTGTGATGTTCTCTGTTCACAGAGGATGAGTGAAACAGCATGTGGAACTAACAGGGTCAAAGGTGCATATCCCACAATGTCACGTGAGGTGTTGAGCGCTTTCTCAGCAGCAGCCACTGCACTTAGACATTTAGGCAGGCCAGCAGCTACAGGATCTAGCTTGGAGGAAAAATAGGCAACAGGCCTCTGTTTTCCTCCATGATCTTGAAGGAGAACTGAGGTCATACACCCATGTCGTTCATCCACTGCCTGAGTGAAAGGTTTAGTGTGATCAGGTAGACTTAGAGTCGGTGGGGATTGGAGAGCCAGCTTCATTTTAATGAAGGCTTCGTCGGCTTCCGGTGTCCATATAAGGTGATCTGTAGGTTTCAAACCAGTGATGTGCGTGATAGTACGCAGTGGCAATTCGATTGGAGAATAGTTTGGAATGAATGACCTGCAGTATGAACAAAAACCCAAAAATGACATCATCTGTCGCTTAGTGACAGGTTTTGGCAGAGCAGCCAATGATGCAATACGCTTATCTGAAAGCGTTTTCCCCTCTCCTGAAATGACATGACCCAAAAATGTAACTGTTCTTTGTACATATTGGAGTTTAGACAAACTGGCCTTGTGACCCTCGGCTGCGAGGTGCATTAACAAAGCAATAGTATCAGCCTCACACTGTTCTGCTGTGGGTGCGCAAATCATGAGGTCATCAACATACTGGATGAGAGCGGTGCCTTTAGAAACTTGTAGAGAGGCCAAACTTGTACACAATGCCTGGTTGTACACAGTAGGAGATTCACAGTCTTTAACGATTGGACCCAAATCTCTCCATCTATCAGTGGGGCCCCTGGCTAGTGAAATGTGTGGGACCGCCCCTGGGATTTGATACAGCTTGTGTTGTGTGGGTGTGAGTCTAACAGAGATAGCGCTGCACAGTGAATTCCAATACATAGTTTTAAGCATGATCTCATCATTCAAACATTCCAGCAGAAAACTGTCATCATAGTATTTACATGGTTCATCAACCACGTTAGCCATACAATGCAAATGAGAAGTTTCCATGAACACAGCAGGTGGAAAAACACGTTGATGAGTCAAACGCAACAACTCCTGAGAATCAGGATATGTCAACAGCCATTGGTACACATTCACCAGTTCTTTATCATCAAATGTGGGGTTATGAACCATCAATGGAGATGGCCGTCGGACTTTGAGACCCTCATTTGTGGAAATGAGGTCTAAGCCGAACCGGAGAATCAGATCTCTGCCCAGTAAATGTATTGGGCAGACAGATGATAAAAGAAAACTGTGTTTGACTGATGTGGGAAATGGATGACTGTCATCACCGTTATCTTTACACTAAAGTGGTATAGAAAACTTCTCCTTCACAGTTACCCCAGCCGCTCCTATTGAGTGAATAAATCTACCACTAAATTTGCAATCTGGCAAATCTGCCCTTTTTACCACAGAGTGAGTAGCCCCAGAATCAACCAGAAATGTAACATTAACACCCATGATAGCTAAAGTCAGTGTGGGAAATTTCTTAAATGCTATTTCAGTGTCATATTTCAAATATGTACCCTTTTCAATTACAGACATTTTCTCTAAATCTTCCAATTTCTCAATAGCCTGCATGATGTGTGTGTGTGTGTGTCACTTCCCTGGTTAAATGCTGCTGGCAGAGGTTCTGTCTCCCCCGACCGAATTCCTTCCTCCCCCACTCCCTCCTTCGACTGATGTCAGTTTGAAGAATTGTCTTTGTTTCGGTCCGATTTATCCGATCGAAAGTTATTTTTCTGCTTCTCGTGTGGGCATTCAGCGATCCGATGACCCGTCTCTCCGCAGTTAAAACAGCGATTGGTTCGGTGGCCTCCTCCTCGTCCTCTGCCTTTTCCTCCCCGGCCTCGGAAACCTCCTTCTCCCCCTCGGTTCCCTCTGCCCTGGCCATCACCTTGGGCTTGGTTGGGCCAGGCGGTTGTAACAGCCTGGACCATGGTTAGCTGGGCCTTGTCTTTGCGGTCGCAGCGTTTATTTTCCTCACTGGCTTTTTCTTCTGAGAGGCGTTTCTCGGCATGCACGGCATGTCGGCGAATTTCTTCCAGCCGGGCACCGTCCATTACGCCAATGCAGGAGTTTCGCACCGATGCAGAAATAGCCGCGGATAGGCCGTTGAGGAAAGCGTTGCTGAGGTGTGTCTCCCAGACTCCCAATACTGCTTGTTCCCCGGCCTCTTGTTTGATAATGCCGCTGTTCTCGATGAACACTTGTTCTAAGCGGTGGTAATAGTCATTTACTGTTTCCTCCGGGTTCTGCTTGCATGCATAGATTCTTGACATGTCGACTTTGGCGGGGAACTTTGTAGTTATTGCGGTCTCGAGGTTGGCCAAAGCATCGCGGTAGGTCAGGTTCAGGGCATCCTCCCACTTGGTGTCTCCCATGTGCTGTTGACCTCCCAGTAGATGGGTGAAATGGCTGACGTGTGTCGGACCCATTCTCAGAGTCAACAATTTATTTATCTCCGGCATGGTGGGGGAGAATTGTCTACAGAACATGAGGAGTGCTGCAGCGAATTAAGCACCTCCTAACTCAACATCTGGGAGGTGATCTCTTGATATCTCCTTCATCTCTGATATGGTCCATGGGTGGTAGACGAGTGACGGACCAGCATGTACAGCCACCTGGATCATGGGAAAGACGAGAGTATGCTCTTCGTCCTCCTGGTCGCTCTGGTTGTCCTCCTGTCTGCGGAGGTGTTCTTTTTTGTAGAGTTCAGCCTTGCTCGCGTCTCTTTTCTTTTTCTCTTTCTTGTCATGGATCTTTTCCAGTCTTGCTTCTTCTTCTGCATTTTCTTTTCTCTGTCTATCTTCGTCTGTGCTCACTCTATGTTTGTCTTCCTCTGCAGCTGCTCCGGCGGCGGCTGGTATGTTGACTTCTGGTTCAGCAGCAGCAGCCCCTCCAGCAGCCTCCTCAGCAGGTAGTAGAACGGGGGGGAGAGGGGGGAATGGAAACCCAAAGTCGAGGAGAGGGTCCCTCACGCCTGTAAACAGAGGATAAAGAGAAGTGTGTGGTTTATATGGGGGGGAAACATGAAACCCTTTTTCTATTTCTTATCACCCTCATCGTCAGCCTGTATCTTTTGTATTGCCGCGGCCAATTGCCTTCTTTCACGGCACTCTGCTTCATCCTCCCAGTATTTTAAACACTTTCTACTGTATGAGTGTCCAGTTTTTCTAAGTCTTTTACTTTAACTTTACTCTTCTTTTTCATTCCATCTTCACACTCTTGTAATTTATCTCTTAGGTTTTTGATTTTTAATTTACTCAAAGAACCTCCCTTTGGAAATCCGAACATTGCGGCCATATATTTAATTTAGACAGACTGTTTTCACCATGTTTTGCTCGCATGACATCTACAATTGGACCCTCAAGAGAGTGTACTAGCCCCCCACTCTGCTTTGCTCCCATAACGGAGCGTCCACACAGCAGCGTGCGTTGACGCTTGGAGGTGGGCGTATCTGAAGCTTGGGGATTTTTTGCGAGCAACACGACCAACAACCAATCACATGAATCTCCCGCCCCCGACATACAAAGCAATAGCAATGTTAAAACGAAGTAAACTGGATATAAAATCCCCAAACAGGCGAAAACCTACCAGTTTCACCCACTATCTCTGCCTCCTCCCTCCATGCCTCGCTCCTCCGGTTTGTATCCCGGTAGATGAACAGAGACTGATCATACAGCACCGGGTGATTCACTACCGCTACAATGAATTTCCACTCAATTTTTTTGAATATGAGGAAATGACCTGCGTAGTCTCTCTCAGCATACACGCGGTTTGATTGGCTATGCGATTGTACTGGCAGATTTGAATAAACGGGATTTCATTGGCTGACGCCTCCGTCGAGGCGTCAAAAGTTGAACATTGCTCAACTTTTGACGCCAGCTACGCCAGCAACGCTCCAACGTCGCTTCCAAAATGCATTTCGGCTAAAAGTGACGTCACCCCATTCAAAGTGAATGGGCAGAAGCGTTGGAAGCTTCAACGCACGCCGCTGTGTGGACGGGCCGTAACAAAGTCTTTAAGTGTTACCTAAACACCCCATGGAGCATTCCCGCCTCGTGATGAGGGACGCAACCGTGAGCAATGTGGATACTACTGGAGAGCCTGGACAATCATAGAATGGTTCCTCTGCATACTTGCCATGATAGTTGTGTTAGGACTAGTCCTATATTTTATGTATCCATGGTCTGCACACAGCATGTCAGCCAAAATCGAGGTATCTAAGAGGTACATGGGGAAAGCAGGGCGAACCACATGGGCAGAGGGGCTGGTCAAGACAGGGATTGGTAACATTACGGGATGGGGAAGATAGCACAGTGCAGTTAGACCCGTGCGACTACATGCATTGCCCCGACCCTAAGAAACTGGGGTGGGCAGACGCCTACATATGCTATGGAGGCGTGTGGTTCAGTGGGTTGAGCGTTGGTGTTCGGATCAGGGGGTCACAGGTTCAAACCCCATTGCAGTCAGCATGTCGTTGTGTCCCTGGGCAAGACACTTCACCCCAAATTGCTCCTGTGGGGATTGCCCACAGTGTTGAGTATGTAAGTCGCTTTGGATAAAAGCATCTAACAAGTGACATGTAATGTAATGTCGAGAGTGACAGTCGCACCGCCACTCACTGCTCGGGGGGGCTGGGCTTTTGTTGTATGGACCAGCGCATACGCCGATTGGGGTTATACCCTATGGGACGACAAAACAAACATCAAAGGGAGATTGTCTATCTCCAAGGTCAATTCATCGAGCCCTGTTATCCTGTTGCAACTAGAGGCTGCCCAGATATCAGACAGGGGTTATTATGTTGTCTGTATGTATGTATCCGGCGCCGACCCGTGTGGCACATTTTACATAGACATCGCGCCCAAAACTCAGACCCCGGAACCAGAGAGAAAGGGTAAGCAGCCTTTGACGCAACTGTTGACATCCATAGGTACATCTACATTTCTAAAACGTAACCTATACATAGACAATAACGACCATAGCAACATTGATGTGGTTCAGACCAGTAATGGGATCACCGGTAACGTCTGGTGGCACACTCTGAGATCATTCTTGCAGGCCGCAGGACAAAATGGGTCATGTTATGCATGCACCCTTTTCCCCCGGGACTCATCAATGTCCGTGCCAGTTCGTCCGCGCTCTCTGACCCATGTTGAACACCTCTGCGCGTTTATGGCTCTGACAAAGCCCATCAAGGGTGAAGACCGCGTAACCGAGTGGCGTTATGCCAGACCGCTTCCCCCACCATGCAGTAATCGGTCTAACTCCCCTTTGCATGCATCTACGTTTGATACCACATACGCAAAGTACCAACCCGTCAGCCATGTGCACCCCAGCCATTTGAGAGGGATGAAACACAGCCTCTGCATCCAGAGAGTGTACCACAAAACGTCTCTTACACCACCTTATTTTTTCCTAGGCACTACTACTGGTTGTACTCGTATCCTACGGAACACGTGCAGTTACGGTGCTTACAATATCTCGTATTGTCGCATATTCGGTGTCCCTGGAAGAATCCTTTCTAACGTAGCATTCCCTGATGTTAATCATATTTCCCTCCAACTGGCCTGGCCCAGTGATGCTGGATTTAGCGCGCCACAAGATTACGTTTGGTTGTGCGGCGACAAGCTCTATCAAGTTCTGGCTCCCCTCTGGATAGGTACATGCACTCTAGTGGATTTGAATCCAGCAGTCACTGTCCTCACGTCCTTAATGTA